TACTCCAACAGAGGAAAGTGATCCAACAATTAAGAAATATTTTTAAAATCCCTTGACACAGATAAATTTCTTACCCATACTGGCAAGATTACTCATAGTTTTACCTCAAGTAGAACACAGCAATTGCATGTTTTGCTTTTCTGGATTTCAGATTATTACATCTAAATTGTCATGATGCACCTAAGTTTTCATCTGTACAGTGATAGTAACATTTCTACATTATTCCTAGTAGTTATTCTAGAAACTTATATTGAAGATTAATTCCTTGATATTTAAATGCTCTTTTGATGCCTACAGCATTACGGTGTCACTGCTGCCAAATGCAAACAGGATTTTATGAAAGGACTCCCTGAAGCACTAGAACTCTAAGTCTATATAAATATTATTCAAATAGTTTTATGAAGTATTTGGTGTGTTTCACAGACTTCCTGGCAAGGGCTTCAAACCTCTTCTTCCCCATGTCTGTTGCTGAGAAACACAGGGCTCAGTTTTCAAGCTTTTATAGCACAGTTGCAAGCATTACCTTTATATAAAACCAGCTTGGCATATCTTGTATGCCATACCCATCAGGCTTGCAAGAAAACACATTTCTACAGAAAGTGAACATGTGTTCAATATCCAAATAAGTATACACAAAATGCCTATATGTCTATAAAAAACACTGCCTGTTTTTAAGTCTAGCAAGCACAAGAAATTAAAATGTAAATTTTATAAAAGTCTGGCTTTACTTTATCTGAGGAAACATATTTCTGTGATAGCCCTGAGGCACTGATGATTATGCCAATTCATCCTTCACTGCTCTATATAAAAAATGACCTTTCCCTCCTAACCAGTAATAGTTAAATTGCTTAAAGACTGTGTATTCTCACCGAAGGCATTTAATAGAAATGGTCTGTCCAATAGCTGCCTACTCAAACAGCTAAAATCCAGTAAATATTAAGAGAACAGAATAACTATCTGGTAATTCTTAATGAGCTTTTTAAAATTTGATTACACAGTGACTTTCTAGTACTCCTTTCAGGTGGTATTCTAGTTTTAAGTAGAGTTTACTTTAAGTAATTGACATTATAAACTGATTTTAATCTCTAATACATCAGTTTAGATGTATATATATCAAGGTATGAGTAATAATAAATTTAAAGGCCTACACAAGTAAAAAACATGGAAATCTAAAAAGCCTAACTTTACAGAACTGATTACCTAGTGTGCGATGTGCTCTGAAGTCTGAATTTTATCTTTTATTAGCCATATTGACAAATATCCCTCAAGAACACAAATTACATGTTTTTTTGTGGTAGATATACCATCTTGGTTCACTTAGTCTGGGCTAGTTCTAGCATGATCCTGTGAAGTATTTCCACCCTAAGTGCAGTGTGGTAACAGATCCATGGCATCACATATTTTACAGATCCATCTTGTCTAACTATATTATTTGTTAATGGAAACTCCTGAAGGTCCTCCATAAATGATTTTTTAAGTGCCATTAAGAGAGGGACCTTGAATTTGCATTGATATTAACTAGAACTATAAAGAAACATCTTTAGCATTTACAGATGAAATAGGAACAGCTGCCTTGACTTTCTTTTCTAATGCAGTCTCTTAATAAGAGATTTAATAAAGATATTCCCGTGCTCCTCCCCATCTATGACTGCAGTATTATGGTTCTGTATCTTCTTGTAGAAAAGGAGTCCCTTTTGGTGCCCATTTATCACACTGAAACATCCTATGAGCTGAAGAAGCTGTATCTAGAAAGACACACTCGTAAGATGGCTGTAAAATAATCATTTGCTTTGGAGTCTCCCCGATAAAACTAGTAAAACTTAGTGCCTAAGGTCACCTCTAGTCCGTTAGTCTTTGCAACTTTTCTGGAGCTAACTTCCCATGAACCTTGTCCCCTTGCAAAGAAAAAACATTTGAAGATAAATACAATTGCAAAAATTAAGTGCATTAACTTTTGTAAGTGGTACTGGTACTTTTATTTTCTCCCATTTGTTCTTTTAAAGAACTCATCTTCACCCTTACCCCATTCAGTCCAGGAAATCAGTTTTCATGCACATGCACACCTTTTCTTAATGTTTATTTAAGGTCAGGTTTTCCCTTTTGCAGTGCCAAAGGCACATGATCCTTAGAAAAAGTTGAACACTAAAAAAAATATTAAAAATATATTTAAAGTAAATGCTTTTCTTTCACATAAATATAAAGTTCAAAGTTACATAACCCCAAGAAATTTTCCTCCAAGCACCGCTTTTATGAGGTGTAAATCATTGATGACTTTTTTAATTTGGCACAAAAAAAGCATTGAGTACTTGCCCAGCTTTCCTGTTATCTGAATATATATATATATATATTTATACACTCATATGTATAGTTATATTCATATACATGAAACAGAAATACTCCAAACTGCCCCAGAACAGCTGAAAAAACACTGAGACCTTTGTTTTTCTTCTTTCCACTTAAAGATGTCTGAAGGAAAGGAATTGATCATCCAGGTTTCACTACCTAGATAATCCAATTCTTAGATATAAGCTATTTGAATTCCTGTCTATATCTAACTCTTCATGCCTTTTAATTACTATAATGACAAGTTGTTGGGTTTTTTGTTGTTGTTTGGGGTTTTTTTTCTGCAGAGAATCCACAAATCAAAGTATGTGCAAAGCACAAAGTATTTAAACATGAGGAAATGGATAGGCAGCTAAAGTAAAGCAGGGTAACAAAAATGTATGATCAGAGTATTGACAGGGAAATAAATAAAATTGCCTGTGTTTAGCAGTTCATCTGAGAACACATTATCTGAAACTGTACAGCTGTATTAGAGAGTATGTTTTAGTTAATTTGGGAGCCTTTAAAAGTAATTATGGCATCTGGAACTGAAAATCTATCATAATGATTGCTGAACTTTTCACATATAAGGTGTTTGATCAATAACAGAAGATATAACCTGCATCCACTGCACTTCAGATGCGCCAGTGCTTTGGTAAAAATATGAACTTGTTCAAGCTGAGAAAATTACAGACACAATCAGTTAACCAATTTGTTCGACATAATTAACCATATGTCACATTTTATTTGTAAATAGTTACTTAAATACAATTGTTGCTACTTGCCAGTATTGCAACAACAGAACTATCCTAACAAGGAATGCCAGCCTCAGTTTAGAAGTATTTATTCAATACACTACACCTATCGGTGCTGACAGATAGATGCTATAGACAGAAGACAAAAGATGACATTCACTCAGAGTTAAAAAACACCCTGTAGAGTTTCTGATCCATTAAATTTCTCCACATCTTTAGCTTCAGCTTATTGAATTGGCTTTTAAATTGTCCTGGGACCAACAAAAGCATTCAACATACTAATACCAGCCTTTCATTATAACTCTTAACACCATTACTATGATAGCACTTGCGTCACTAGCCAATGGTACCATTGAGCATATTTCAAGCAACCCACTTCCACCAAACTTCCATTTCCACTGCGTAGCCATGGTCTGATTCAGTTATTAGTCTGCAGGTTACAGTCTCCTTTCACTATTCCTTAAATATACTCATAGAGATCATCAATAAGATATGCCTTGTCACCCCAGCAGCAGTTTCTCTTCAATTCTGACTGTATTTAAGTACCATTTATTTCACAGCAACACACAAAACCAAGTTACAGAAGCAGAAAAGGCTTCTGTAATTAGCCATCTTTTGCAGCCTATTCTAAATTTCAAGATATAAAATATTCAGTGGAGATCAATTAGCAATACATACAACTTAAACACTTTAAAAAATGATAGCTTACATTATAAAAGTGCTTTCTTACAATACATCTTTTAACCTAATGCATCAACAGTCCAGCAATCCAAATAAATCTTCTTATTTGAAGGAAATATTCAATTACAATGAAAATATGAATACCTTGAAATGAGAACACTCCAGCAAAAAAAAAGGTTGCAGCCTGCTTGCCAGATAATGTGCAGGGTAATAATACAGCATATTCCTGTACCCTTCCAGTGTTACCCTTTCTCCTCTGTCCTGCATGGCAGCCTTTACTACCCCATAAGGCGTTTACGACATACATGTGGCATTCACGCACAGTGAAGAACCACAATCAAATCTGTTACTTGTTAGGAAGCATCAAACCTTTACCTCCTGGCCCATCTGACAGGATGGCTGCTGAGCTCACTGCTCACACCTTAACCTTCAGCTGGGCTCATTTATTTCCCAGGAGACACGTTCAGAAAAATGACAGTTACAGGAACAGTAGCAGGTTAGCAGAGCTCGCCTGGGGGAGGGGAAATTCCAAACCAAGAAAAGCTTCTCAAAAAAGGTTTATAGCTTTCCAAGCTTACATGTAGACTAAACAAGGACAAGCCTAATAAAATTAATTGCTTCACAATAACAAGCTTTGTGTTTATATTCTGAAAATACTGTAAGCTGTATCTGCTTAAAACAATATTGAATGGTCAGGTGGTTTGCAGTTTTAAAGCATGTTAGCATAATCAGCCTTAAATTAAAACAGATGGGAATGACAGATATGTTAAGGTTATTAAAGACCTCTAAAGGATAGAGTTAAATAAGGTTACCTAATCCATCTTAGAAGGGTATTATGAATTGCATCACTTAAGTAAGAATAGCATTCTTGTATCTATTTTTGATTTTACAAGACTAAATGAAACAACTAACACAATGTAACCAATGGCATGCACATTATATACTACTACTTGTCTCAGTTTTGAGCAAAAAACCAGGATGTTTCCTGATCTTGAAAGGCTTTCATCCAGATCTTTTAAGAATGAAATTGTGGTACAGACTTCTCAGGTGGTCTTTTAAACAAAACCCCAAACCTCCCAAGCCCTTCAATGCTTACAGTTTAACACTGTTATTGTCACCTGTGCAAAGTGTGTAATACAAATTTAAGTTAACAATCTTGTTTTCATACATGCAACAGCTGTTAACATGCCTTTTAAGGGACTGTTCTTACTACCATAGCTATGATAAAAACTTCTGTGATACCTCTTACAAGTGGACTGGGTGTCTTGCCTCAAGCTTCCACTGCTGTACCAATGCAAAGTTTTCTTCCTGTGAAACATTTTTCAGCTGAGTAATGAGTTTTCAACAAGCAGCCAAGCTAGCTTAAAGCCTTCTAGTTAAATATAGAAATGAAGTGGGAAATATGGTTAAGAGCCTGCTCACATCAGAGGGAGAAAAACCTCAACCTGAACTATATTTACCAATACAATACCAAGTTGTATTGGTAAATACAACTTATTTAGCAATAAGAGGTAAACACTTAGCACCGTGCCGTCTTGTAAAGGCGCCTTTATCGACCTTCCCCATGGAATACAACAGGCTGTTCAGAAACCCAACCAGGAATTAGTGTTAAACGCTTTCTGAGGAGAGGTACCAGAACCAGCTTCCAGGCAGAGAAAGGATTTATGAATCCTGTTTGGGTTTTGAGATGAATAGGTGTTAATATGCTGAGACTTGTCAAAGCTACAATGCTATCTCAGTATGTACAAAGGCCATATAATATTCTTTTTTAACCTTCCCTGCCCCCATCTTGACAATCCCCAGACTAACAAAATCCCAGTTCCCAAGGTTAACTGAAGATTGGGTAACAGCACTGGCTCCCAGAATCACTTCTCTGAATTTAGATGCCTATATTGAACTAAATCCCATTTTACAACCAGATTGGAAATTATTTTCAAGGATTTCCAACATCAAGATACACAGACAGTTTAATTCAGCTGGAGCACCTAACATCTAAAGTTCTGTCACTGTAAACTTTAAATTTTGAAAGTGTGACTGAGGCTTTTTGAAATCTTTCAATGCCTCTATTTTTTTAAAGTAAATGACCCAACACCTATTTTTAATATACAATTTGCTAATAATTTTGACATTTTTTACTATTTCTGCTGCACCAGAAAATGCAAAGCGATCAGGAATCAACGTGTCTACTTCATGGCCTTTGTAAGATTAAACAAAGCTTTTATTCAGCTAAAGATTACATCCAACTATTTAAAGAGATCTACATAATTGAAGTTTTCCTTGTGCATTTTATGTATAACAGAGCTGTGCTAGGTCAACCATTACCTATTGAAATGCTCAGCTACATTTTCCCAGCTGCAGGGCACTGACAATTTCTGGGCACATTCTAACCATCCACCAGGATTTAAAAGTAACTGAACTGATATCTAACAGCAATTTAATTCACTAAGACTAAATTCAATCAGCACTCAGAAGGAAAGGGGATTAGAATTAGCATTCTAAATCTGTGTTTGTTAGATCACATATACACTTTCATTTCTGTTCAGTAGAGAAAGTTGCAGTGGAGAATATGAAATGGAATCTTCAGTAGTGACAAAATACATAACTCCAAGGCAAGCATATCATGTGAAATTAAAATGCATAGCTCAGATAATATCAACATCTATAGAACCAGAAGAAAATTTAGGCTCATTAGTTTCATTAAAGAGATCAAACATCAAGACAAAATAAGAGCTTTTTCCATAAAAGCTCTCCAATCAACCTTAACAAAGAAAGAGCTAGTATATTAATCTCAGTACACTTCTATTTTTCATTATTCTACTTAAAAGTGTTTTTCAAACAGTTTCAGATATGGTAGAAGTTTTGGCACAGGTATTTTTTAGGCATGGCAGATATATATCCATTTGTAAATACCTTAGATACTGACTTCTAAGTGTCTTCTGGCAAGTTATACCAGAGTTCCTCATCAAGTTCTCTTAAACAAGAAAAGTGTCTTTTCTTAAATGTGTCTAAGAGAAAATGAATCTAAAGAGTTTCATGTAAAGCAGCTTTACTTTTTTTTAAGCAATATTTTGGAGGGCAGCGTGAAGAAGTAAAGGTAATGCTATAATCATAACAGATCTTGGAAGAACACAGGAAACATGTCTCAAGTCACAAAAAAAGCATTACAGAAACAAAAAACCCCATGTGCCACAATTTCATTTTCTTGCATTATTAAATAAAAATGTCAACATTAAAAACAAAGATCAGCTACTTACCTTTGCCAAATTGGTCACGTTAATAATGAATGTGCACTAACCCCAGTCTTTGCACCACTTTTGCAGTGCACTTTGGTTTATGTTTTCATGAACTAGAAATTATTTTTAAGACAGAAAGCAAGACTGTCAAGTGTCATATGATTCTAGAAACTCTGACTGTTAAAAAAGCCAATTGTTTCCAGTGAAAGCAAGATCTGCCAAAAATTAGCAGGTTACTGAGTTGAAACAATCACTGATCAAGTAAATGTTACAAATACTTAATAGAGTCAATATTCTACTATTTTTCCTTGAAAAATATTGTATGCTATTTGAAGGACACTTGAAAAATACCAGTTAGTGTGTTAACAGGCTAAAAGCTACCGACACTGACATGCTGCTGTTATCTGAGGCATTAGTCCTACAGCAAACTCAATTCCGCATAGAACAAGCCCTGTTTGTAGATCTGGGGCACTCCCAGAGCCAGGAGGGACAGAGGCAGTTGGGCTTCAAGAAAGCACAGACAGATTTACAACTAATGGAGAATTTGTTACCTCCTTTCTCTGCGGTAGCCGTCACTTGCAAACTCATTCCCACAAATAAATTCGATCTCCTGTACCCTCAGGCTACCAAATACCAAGTTGTGTAGTTCTTAAATGGCAAGTTCTAAACAATTCTCATTTGTTTTCATAGCACCTATTATTCAAAAAGGTAAATAGCTAGTGGAACTACCACTCTGATACTAAATACACCGTTTCTGTACATTATCCACGGGACCCAACCTCAAAGTACATGATGTACTAGTGGCCAGATTTCAACACTGCTGGAATGCAAAGCCTTGACCAGAAGTCAGTGTTAGTATCCTATATGTCGAAATGAAATATGTCAGAAAAAACAGCAGCTGCTTCAAAGAAGGAATAAAAAGTACAACTATGAGATTAAAGAAAAAGCCTAGGAGGTGCTCACATCCTCAGGGGATTGGCATTTTCTCCAGTCTCAGCGAGACTCTTTAGCACATTCAAGTACAACATATGGGCCTATGTAAAGCTACACTGTAGAAAGCAAAACTGACAAAGATTTTAATCCCCATTAGAAAAGCTTAAGAGCACAACACCCATTTATTTAATATAATATGCCAGGGTTTTACAAAGTCTCAATAAGGAGGGCTTTCAGGGTCTACTAGGCAATTTGGAAGGCTGCTAGGTTATTATGATAGTATTCAATATGTTTGAGTTTATATTGACAATGGCACACACTACTTTGAATAACATTATTGTGCAAGCTTCCAGTTGTTCATTATATCCCCCCACTTACTATTAGTCACAGCTGAGTACTGTAAGGCAGAAGGCAAGCAGCTGTCCAGGGCAGAAATAGCATCAGTCCTCACTGCCTACCTCAAACTTGACATAGTCTTGGAAGCATTTGCAAACTTGTCTCTGAAAGAAAGAGGAGAAAAGAGTCTGGAACAGAATGTTACACAATAATAAAACTGTGTAAATAGAAAAACAGAAACATCTTTACCTCTCAATTCACAACTCAGATGGAAGAAGCGCCAGACCTGATACTTCCTGACACTTCCTGATACTTCCTCTCTTCTGCTGTGTCAGTTTTCCCTTATCACTAAGAAGCTTTGGGTCAATCTAGATAAAAATGCCCTGGAGTTAACAAAGACTGTAACAGCAGAATGGGAAACTACAGGAAGAGCAGATAAGACTACTTATAGCACTTCTCCCCAGTTAATAATACATTGGCAGAAAATTAGTTGAGGTTTTGTCCAGTTGTGTTGGAATACCATTTATAGTACACTAGACAGTTTCTTTTACTCAGAACTGTATTTCCTAACTTAAGTTCAGATGCATTTTGCTATCTCTTCTTAAATTGGAAGTTCCTAGGAGACAGGTGATGTTCAAAAGGGATAAATAAAAGCAGTATAAAAGTTGTAATTATTTCAACTACTTAGTTACATTGTTAAACAGAAGTGGACTACATGAGGCAATCAGGACTGCAAACCATTCTTCGTCTTTACCTGTCAGCATATAGTATGGCAGATTCTAAGACTTAAAAGTAACTTTTTATCCTATCACATTTAATGAGAAAATATTTTACCACTGTAGTTTTAAACCTTGCTGCCTCACTGCTGATTGCACCCAGAAAATGTAACTCCAGGACATTCCCCAACAAGTGCAAAGGAGACATCTAACTAACTTTGTTACAGCAGTATCACTGTAACAGCAGTCTCAGAGATGACCTAGAGACTCTTCAGTTAAACCACATACATGCAGAAAAATCTGAAAAGACCTACTCTGAGTGCTATTACAGAGTCTTTTCACTTATCAGTTGGTTTTTGAAAGGTCACTTTCACATTTCCTGGAGTAAATGCAGTTGTAACTATCATTTATTTTGGCATCTAGTCAGTATTTGGTGGGCTCAATATTTTCACACATACATTACACTTCAAAATCTTCACTGAAACAGTTTGCTGTTTCCTCAAAAATGAAAATATTAAAGTTGTAAGACTCTCTGAAGAAATTCAAGTTCTGTTCCTCTGCCAAAGTTGATACAGCTTCCACAAAAAGCAAACTCGCCTCTAGCCTTCCACCAATAAAACTGTGCAAATAACTCCAGCCCATATTCCACTCCAAAAGTTTTATAATAAATGGGTTACATTCTAATTCTTGTGCCATGCCCAGCAGCACAAGGCAGAGGGGTTACTTTGAGACCAGCTGTGTGGCTAACTTCTGTCTTAATTTATGAGCCAAGCAGAGTTTGGATTTTCACCAACTTGCCACAGCAAAACAAGTTAGTTCTCTAACTTCAGTCAAAAACTCAGGAGCACAGAGACCAAAAATCACCCTACCACTCTTAATCAGGTAATTCTTAAAGCACACTTGCCACAGAAAATACAACTATTTCACAGTAGCAAAATCCATCTACAGATTCTTTCTTCAGGGTGAAGACAACTTCATTATTATTCTAATTTTCACTATTTCTTGACATATTACAGTGACTTTTTCTATATTGAGCTTTTATTAGTGTGAAGCCTGGCCATGTTCTGTGCAACATGGTTTTGTATTTGAATTACTGTATTTTGGTAAGCATACAATTAGGGTTATTTTAGTTGACTCTGCTTTCCTTAATCCAATATTATGAAAGCAATAAAAGGCTTGGAAAAAGACTAGGGGAGATACTGAAGTTGTTCTTCTCCTCAGTAGTAAGCATAAAACACTTGTTTGTTTCGTTGGTATTTTTAAAGAAAAGACATCTTGACCATGTTCTCAAGCCAGCTCAAGGCTTCTATCATTAATTCCATTCAGTACTGAAATGAAAACTCACAGGTTCAGTGAGTTTTTCACAGAAACAGTTTCTCAATAAGTGGCTCAACTAAAATATATTAAAGTTGAGTAGGTGACAAGCTACCAGGGCGAGCAAACTAAAAGCTTAGTATGGTATACATATAAATTTCATGCATAAATTTTTTCTCCTTTTAAGAAAAAATACGACTCTATTCAGTCTCATAAGCAATGTAATTAGGGAGGTATGCAAGAAAAAAGAAGCAAGGTAAAAATCACACATCCATATAATTTGAAGAACCTTGAAACAGAAGGGAACTGGGCAGAAACAAGACTGACTCATTCACACCACAGAATTAACTTTCAGGAAGAACAAGATTTTTAATCATGCCTACAATCCAGCCCCATGACCCAGAGCTTTTCTGGTTTGAAAACAAGATTTTATAGCTATTGGTGCTCCAAACTTGTGTGCCATTGGGTAGATATTACAGCAAACAGTTGGACTCATTTCCACAGGGAACAAATATTGCCAAGTCAAATGATCTGCTTTATGGTAGACTATAACAGGATTTTTTATTTTAACACTATAGCAACATCCACTACATTTTCACTGAGAAATTCAGTTTCTCTAGGGTTTAAGGTGTTCAACTGTTCCTTAAAAATACTGAAACTCACTTCTCTCATGTTGCAGAAAGTAAAGGATAGAGTTAGATCATAGAAATTGGTGTGGCTCTTTATCTCAAATAATATCTGTATGCACTCTTTCTCCATATTTAAGTCTCACAATCTTAGCCCCTCATATAACTACTAGATTAAAACTTTTTAAAAAATTACGAAAAGTTAGAAAAGTACTGTTTTCTAACAGAAACCAATTCTTCAGTTTTGGTACATTACTGCTAAAGAAACCTTTGAAAGGTTGACAAGAGAAAAAAAGGATATAAAACGAAGCAGTATGGGAACCTTCCTTTCTAGGAATTAAGTTAAAATAATCTTCAAACCAAGCCTTTACTTGATTTTTTTAATAGCTTTTATCATACCTAGTAATAGTAATCAAAGGTTATCCATTCCACTCTAGTTATCAGGCCTGTATTACAATTTCTGAGGGGGGGAAGTGTGAAACATTAAGAATTAATCATTAGCACCCCAAGAAAAGCCAAGAATAAACATTTGTGTCACTTCTCACGCTTTTTGTAATGACAGCTATTTTGCAACTGCACACATAGAATCAACAATCCTGTGTTGCTCACAATTGCTTTCACAATTGAAGTAAACCTTGGAGTTAGAGAAACAAGAGTATGGAACAGAGAAAGCAGGCCTTGTGCAGGCAAGGTGGGTATGTCCTGTGGGGGTGGGCAGAAGCCTTCTTAAGGCTTGGCAGATGCTTGTGTGGGTTTCACGGGTGGGAAGATCCCATGGTGATATTCCCAAAGTGAGGGGATAGCTCTTGGGCAGGCTAGCACTCTTGTGAGAAGCGAGCTGCCAGTGAACAGTGCTACCTTGTTCCAGAGTAACACACACTTGTGAGCAGCTTCCACCTGCTGTGGGACCAGCAGGAGCCAGGCTGCAGGAGTGTTCAGAGGCTGAGGATCTCCTCTGAAACACATTATTGGGCTTGTGGAGAAAGTACTCACTGGATGGTGTCGGGAAGGGCTTCCACAGGAAAGGTGCAGAGCGGTATATGCATTCCACAGGCAGGGTGCACACCAGATGTGTTTACCAGCAAAGGGCCTTGTGTAAGCATTTGGGTGGTCTTGCAGTCCATGGAAAAGGGATCAGGGTGGGGAGGATGGCTGGGAACAGATGAATGGGTTTGTCCAGAAGGAGAAGATGCCTTTGGAGGTGGCAGGGTGAAGTATGCTGTGGCAGCATGGGTCCATAGGCTAAGGGATTGAGGAAAGCTTGTGGGCTTGTGAGCAGTGAGTTGTTGGGGGAAGGACAGCCCTCTGAAAGACTTGCACATGCATGTGTGCAGCTCCCATATGGTGTGAAGGTGGTGGGGGCGGCAGGAGGGTGCGCTGATGCTATTCATGGGCTGAGTGCCTCATGTTTTGGTGGGCTTGTCTTCCAAGAGAGGACCTGTTATGTGGGGGGGCCCTTACCCATCAGTGGAGTGCCTCGTGTTTGGAGCAGGCCTCCAGTCTCGTGAAAAGTGGTTGTTTGGAGAGCAGCCACCACTAGGTGTGACAGAAGGTGTTGAGAAAGGACTGGGGATATGGAGGGAGGAGCTTTGTCTAGGGGTGACAGGGGATTGTGAGGCAAGACATGGTGGGCAAAAGCTTGCTGTGGTGATTGTGAGCAAAGTGAATCTTGTTAGAGCAGGCTTGTAGCTATGCAAAAAGGCATATTCCGCAGGGTAAGGAGAAAGCCTTGCCCTAGAATGACCACTGCTCTTGTGAAACTTCCATTTGCTGTGTGGCCCTTGTAGGCCTCAAGAGTGTGATGAGTGCAGTGATTAATGTTTGAGGGAGTCCCATCTTGGAAAAAGGCCATTCCGGTTAGTGGGGATGGCCTGTGAGTAGCAGGTGCCTGCAACAATGACAAGCTGCATGAGGGATGACTTGAACTTCTGTGCATGACCTTCTTAGTTAACTACCCACCTCCCTTCCCCACATTTTAGGTTTATTTACAGCAAAAACCAACCTTAGAAAAAGTTAAAATTATGTGTTATCCTACTATCTATGGACTTTTTTAGTGATACTCTTCTTAGCTGCCCCCTTAAGGCTTAAACTGACCACCTTTCTTGGGAAAGACTTGAGACACACTTTAAAACAAGTTCACAGAAAACTGCTGTAGCCCAACTCATATTTCAGCTTCTACTCTGACTATTCTCTTCTGACTCCCTGCTTTAGAGCACACACTATTTTGGACTACGACACTTTAATTTGTAATTTCTCTTTCCCGTCCTTCTCTACTTTATTACTGTCTAGCAAAGACACAAGCTACCCAGTGCCCAGTTAGCTCATATCCCCTCTCAGCACCTACCTGTTTCCAGTCACTTCAATTCAGCAAGGATTTTTGTTTGCTGTTGTCTTAATGCACAGTCCAGATGGAACTAAACCGATAAAGCAGTGGAAGGTGATTCTCTGAAGCTGCATGTACTTGTGATGCCTGGAAGGCTCTACTGGTGTGCTACAGTTCCCAGAAATCCCTGATGTTTTTCTGTCTAATTCTGGTGGTCTTTTTAGAATTTGGACTGAGGCTAGTATGGGTTATAATTTAACTTGATTGGTATGAAACTACTTTCATTCCAAATACTGCTGGCTGTGCCAAGCACACTGTTATACTTGGGGTGTTCAGAGACAGGGTAAAGGTGACTGATAATGTCCAAATTTTTTTGTTTGCTGTAGAGGAAAGAGGTGGCGGGCAAAAGATGAAATGAAGAGAAGGAGGAAAATATGATAAGTGAGTAGGGTACTCTAACACCTAAACAGTGTTTACCTGAGATGTAGGTTATAGGTTTATCCTTCTGAAACATATCAAGAGTAATAGCACTGGAGGAATTATTATAGAGTGTCTTCATGCTGAATGTTGCAATTCATAACTGTATGGATTTATTGATTTTGAGAGCTATTGCGTATGCTGTCATAGCAGTTAAAAGATGATATTATTTTACATTAATTTATTTTTTATTGCTATTTAGAATTTTATAAGCATAATTTTAATTATGCTTAGGCATAATTAAGATGTTGGTGCTTGGCTGCAGGAACAGGTAAAGATAAGGATCCATCACCTGTTGCAATTTTAAAATTTATCTTGTCTTAACAGCACTATTTTGTTAGCATTGCTGTGCTGGGCTGTTACTCAGCTATGCTGTGTTTGTAGATCTAGATTCTGAAATGCAGATACTGACCCAGTTTATTGAAATGTAGAAGTGCCCTGTGAGGTGTTAAGCTTGATTCTGTCTGGTGTGGTGCACTCTGGACTGCTGTGATCTTGGCACTTAGTGCTAAATTTTTATTCCACCCAAACCAGGTTTATCTTTAAATGCCTCAAGGTAGTGCTTCTGGGAGCTGTGATTGCTATGGTAATTCTGCTCATAGAGTGGGCTTGTAAGCACACCTACACTCAGGCAACTTCAGTGGCTGCAGATATATTTGGTGACACAGCAGTCAGTAGGAAGAGTTGCAATGGTTTTTTTTAACATGGATTTTTTTTTTAATTGGAACAGATTGCTTTCATCATGCAGAATTTTTTATCTGAAAAGGAGCTGAGTGAAAAATCTGTTGCCTACATTATACTCTTAAGGTTTTCACTGAGATGTAGGAAGCTGTAAGCCAGCCTTGGAATCTTGCCTGTTAGGAAGAGAGCAGTCTATGGGTGACCCAGGTGGAACCATGGCAAAGTAGAGTTTATGAAATTATGAGCTTATGAGATACTGCTGCCATCAGCCATCCTGTCTTGGTGAACGGGTCAGAAGTGGTGTAACTGTGTAGTGCCTGAGACACCCAGATGTCTTCCTATAGCAATCAATGATTTGCAGCAAATACCCCTTCTTTGTGGCCCAGCATAAAAATACGGAAACTTTTACATCTTTCCTGGGGCTAGGATGAAGCATAAATTACAGAAGGCATCTTTTAAACACCTTTAACTCAGGCAATTTAGAAATTTATGCCATCTTTTAAGGGTGTCTTCCCTTCTCAAAGCAGGATGTTTTTGTACTTACATTTTGCGACCATTTTTACTTTATTTTTGGTAAGAAAGTAGGCTGACCATTTTTACTTTATTTTTGGTAAGAAAGTAGGCTCTCTGTTGTTTCTCAGTAGCTGTTTTGGTTTTTATGATATTGAATAAGTTTAAGAATTTCAAGTTGTTACCAAAGAAGTTTAAAATAATCCCTTCTGAGTTGAGTAATGTTGATTTAGAAATTCTTTACTTTGCAGTAGTATAGCTTTCACAGAAAGCTGCTTTTGGGCATCACCTATTTTAACTGAAGAGTCTATTGTGTTCTCTCCTGCTTAATATTTTAGATTAAGATGAAAAGGATGATTTCCCTCAAATATATCACTTTCAGTTTGACTTTTTCATACCACAAGTAGCGACTCTTCTTAAGAGCAATAACTCTCCGTATAGCACTGTAACAGTTTTTGCCAGCCTGAACTTTTAGCATGTAAAAGATTGCAGGAGCCAATAGAAACACCAAGTGAAGGGCAAAATTTCATGTTCATAGTTACAATTGTTTGTGCTTGATTAAAAGTATTTACGTTGCAGTTAAATAATATTTTGGTAAAACTTTCATAACAGAAAAGATTAAGTGATGTGTTATAATTGCAGATCAAATCTCTAGAATGTGTTTAGTTACATGTTTAGAAAGCAATGGACTCTGCCTACATCTCCAGATTACTTCTCTTGCCTTTGCTAGTAGCTGCAAAGTAATGTGAATAGTAACAGCAGAGATAATAAGAGTACACAAGGAGGAAAACGTGTGTAAAGCGCACACCAATTTTACCTTTATGCTGGTGTCCCAATTCTTTATCAGGATTCCTTTTGTTGTACATTGCTTTTAGAAGACTAAAACAGACATCATAATGTTTGCTTAACAGTTGGAGTGCTGTGTTCGCTGAGGTGTATCTAAAAATGGTGCTTGGCAACAAGGTTCAGAGATTTTTTAGACTAACAACAATAGTGACTCGTGGCCATTTATTTGAAGACAATTGGCTTTCTCACTGTGAAAGATAAAGGTGACTTTGCTATAAGCAGTTCTCTGCATAAAGCTTTTCTATTGGTGATGGATTAATCTTAAATGGTATCTTGAAAATGTCCCACTAAAGAATAATAGAAGACTTTTTTTGTGAATAGTTACATTGTAATATTGCCATTTGTCCATCTTGATTCAATTTATCAGCTTCATTTTTTTTTCTACAGAAAGTCTACTGGCACTTCCATATTTGACTCCTTCAATTCTGTGAAACATATCCTCATAACTCATAATATGATTTGAGACCAGTGTCCTAAATTATTGTCTAATTCACAGCTGGGCTTATTATTCTCAAAATATTTTCCAGAATGATTGTTGGCACAGAGCAAAACAAGATTAAGTGTTGCTCACAATGGGTTGCTTCAAAGTTGTTTTGATTTTTTCTGTGTGTTGTGTCTTGTTTTTAAAGCCAAGCATTGTGGTTTAACCCCATTTAGCAAGCCAGTGCAGGCACCTGCTTACCTGAAAGGTGGGGCTGAACCACTCTGTCACCCATAAAATGAAACAGTTTGTAGAACTTCTGGATGTAGTTTAATACCCCAAAACTCAGAGCAAGTAAAATTCTGGTAGGCTGAGATACTCTGTAATGTACATTTTTATGCACGAGCTATTTATTTCCATGAAACCCTTCCTGCACAAGTTTTTGTCTGACATCAAGCAGCCAGAATGAATGTTGAATGAAATGTTTTCATGTTCAAGGACAGAAGTAGCAGGTGAAATACGACAATGAAGTAAATTCATGTTCATTTATTTTGGGTAGGAAAGTGCTTTTGATTTGAGTGGGTTTTTTTCCTGCACAACACTTAATTTAGTAGATTCTATTTAGAAGGAAAAATTGAAGTTCCTCAAGAGTAATGGGAAAGAAAAAAAAAATTCATAACCTGTAGTACTGAGATCTGGAATATTTTATATAATTTGGACAACAGAAAAATATGAAAGCTTTGAGTCCAGCAAAAAGGGAAAGATTTTGTTAGCTTTTAGTAGGCTTTATCTATGCCCAGGTGTTTGCTTGTACTCCCTGCATAACTTTACACTTAGATAAATATAGTGATGTAATAGTCTACGGACCATATCCCAGGCTGCCAAAGTAATTCACCTGGCTTGCACCTTGCTTTTGACCATCCAAGAATTTCTCGTCCTGGCAAAGGAATGAGCCACAGGCCAAATCCATATTCTGATGGTAGCTGCATATTTGACTGAGTCTTGACCTTCTGTCCCTGCCAAAGACCAAAATGAAGTAGTGAAGAGTTTTGCAGTCTGTGCAGTAAGCACATCTCTTCTGAAAATGTTCTGTAAATGTTCTGTACTGTACATACTGACATGATGGGAGAAAAACTGAGGTATATTATTCTAATCTCCATAACTGGCAATTTTAGCAGGAAGGTGGATTCCTTTTTATTACATTAAAGCTGTGTTCACAATAAGGGAAGCTACCTACACAAAACTCTTGAGGTGGGTAGGGTGTTGGGAAGTTTAATACATCTGACAGTGGAATAACTAATGTTAAAAACTGTCTCTTTAGACTAGATTGTTGTTCTGAACCAGATTTTTAATCTGCTTCTAACCCAATAGAAATCAATTTGACTATTAGTGTCTTAATTGCACCATAAACTTGAAGCATTATTCTTAATAAGGATTATAAAAAGATAGATGCCAGGGAAGGATTATAAAAAGATAGATGCCAGGGAAAGGGAAGTTGTGTTAATGAAGATGAGAAGCTGTAAGGCCAAGGAATTTGCTAGTGCCTTTCACCTAAGTCCATGCACCAAGCATGTGCCATTGAACATATTTAGTGGCCAAAGGCCATACAGCAGTGAGCATTAACCAAAGGGATGTTAGTGAAATTTACACTAGATGATGTTGTTCATATATTGGAGTGACTGGAGAAATGATGCATTGAAAAACACCCTTCATCTGATATCTTGTAGCACATTTTTCCTCATGGCATGCAAGTGAATATTTAAAATATGAAGCAGGATGTGTGTTTAGTGAGAATTTCCAGCAGAAAATACAAACTTAAAAAAAACCAAACAACAAACTGAAAGGACTTTTAAAAAAAATTTGTTCTTCAGGGAGTCTTTGAGTGTCAAGATAGAAAGCCTGAGAGCACTTCAGTCAGAAGTAAAATAATGGCTGGCGAGGATATTAATCTAATTTCAAGTTGTGTCCAGGGATCTGGGATCTTCAGGATCAAAAATTTCTGCTGGAAATGTTTAGTAACTTTCCACAGGGAAAGACAGTTCCAGGACAAGACATGGGGACAAACCTTAGTCAAGTGAGGTGCATAGGATAATCCCACTTTGTGGAAGGCACAGGTTGCTGTCCTAGGTGATGCAAAAAATTGAAGGAAGGCTGCTTCACTGTCTGTCTCTTCTGGTTTTTTTCCCTTCCTCCTTTCCCTTAAAGACAGAAAGTCTGATTTATGCTTGAACTTAGTGAGAAATTTTGGAATATAAAATACATAGACATGACCTTGAAAGTTAATGTTTGACAGCATGCCCAATTAGTTAGAGGATTATCATGAAAAATTACTTCTACCCAAATCCTTTGCAGTATTGTTTTTAAGCAGGAGTTTGTTAACTTTCCAGACATACTTTTCATATCCACCTGGCTTGTAATATTTCACTTGGTAACACACAGTGAAATGTTTGTCAGGCTTATTAGGATCTTAGTTGGTTAGTTTCAAACAAATACAACTAAATATTTA